TTCGAAATGGCCGACTGGCGGCCATTTTGTTTTAAAGAATTCAGTTCTGGATCCGTATCCGAGACATGTCTAGATTGATCAAGTTCAAACTTCACACACACATAGTACATCATGTCACAAATAGAGATGTGCATTTGTTTCATGATCTGCTTAACAATAGTGGAATGATGGCCATTTTAAGGCCGAAAATGCATCAAAATCACGTATTTTCACAATTCCAGAACCGGATCTCAGTCATGCATGGATGGATTTTGTTCAGATTTAGCACAATGTGTTGTACATATGCAGGTGCATTTCGGTCATGATCTGCTTTGAATGTATATGTCACTCAAATATGAACGGAACGGGGACGTGTCATTGACAATGACTTGTCATTTAATCATTTTTTGTTTGAAAGCAACATCTTTGTGAATAATAACTCACAAAGTGTATTAATTAAAGTGACATCATTTAAAACATTTACACTTTCACTGAAAGTACTTTCGATAAATAAGACTTACAAGGAACATTGAGGGTTACATGAAGTACTGTAAAATACTTTATTTTAGCTGGAATTAATTTTTTGCTGAAAAAACTTTTTGGGTGTTTTGTATAGAATTTATTTTCACTGATTTTTGTGAAGTTGAATGTAAAATATAGGAAAAAAGGTATATTCGCTGATTTTTTTTATTTTCACTGAATCATTCCTTCAGTGAAAATAATGAAAATAAAGTATTTTACAGTATACTGGTAGTTTGATTGTTCATTTTACTAACTTTACATGCATGACTACTATTTTTCATGTAGTGCTATACCAAGCAGGTCGTAATCCCTCAAATCGAACACTCAGCAAATATTGGTCTAGTGACACAAGTAAGTAAAATACAATTAGGGTAATTAGGGTAAAACTACATCAGTAGTGGTTACACCATGGACTATGTGTATATGCAATATACATGGTTAATACTGCATCACAAAATATTTGTGTGTGTTAGTGTTTTAGAGGGCACACTATTTCTTATAAAACATAATCCACTGTGTATGATAAGTTGCTAAAAAACTAAATTATCAGGCAATGAATGAAGGAATGAATGAATGGGTCAAGTTTCTGAAAGGATTATGTTGGGTGTCAGTCAGAAGAAATATTTCAAACGCATGATCAAGTTTTTTGACTACTCACTAAATTTATTCACTCAGCTTACGTACATCACAAAATGGATTTTTGACTTCATCCACAAAGAAAAATAACATTGCCATCTTCTACTGTACTTGAAAGTTGTTTTTGAACTCGTTTTTTTTTTTTTTTTTGACAGACCAACTGAGCTATAATGACTTTTGTGATATCATGAGAAAAGAGAAGGCCACATCAGAGGCGGATTTGATCAGAGCTTTTAAAAAGATAGATATGAATGGGGATGGATATATATCTCATGATGAGTTGTATAAAGTAATGACTGAGGTGAGTTTCACTTTGGAGTATGTACCACAGTTTGACGCTGATCAGAAACACCTACAAATCCATCAGACCAGTGAAATTTTGCTGATCCATTGATGGTCCTAATGAATCACTTGAATATGTCAATTCTGATTAAATTTGAAACCACTTGACCCGAAACATGTAGCCACATTTCTATCCTGGAGTCAGTGTTGAGAATCAGCTGTTGACAGATTTAGATTGAGATCTGTTATTATACATCTGACAGAAAAAATAATTTAGCCACCTGTTAAAGCCTAACCAGGCGAAGTCTTCCTTATTTAGATCTTATGTTTCGCATGTTGAATCCAGCCACAAGAGCAGTAGATCCATCAACAAAAATGGAAATTGGGTCAAAAAAGTTGAAAATTGATATTTTCGTCAATTTCTCAAACAATGTCACTTTGATTGACATGCTATTTTGCATGTAGGTATCTTGTTTGGTCCTCTGTGTGGCCTGTTGACGTGATAGTATTATCTTCAAATTTGTCTTTTAAGTGAATTTTTTCATTATTATTTTGTTGATATTTTTAGCTGAAAGTGTTATTTTCAACTTCTTCTCTAAAACCATCAGTCAAATTGCTTTCATATTTAGTATCTAAGGATCTGGGGCAGACCTTTTGCTGGTCCTCTGAACATATTCTTATTTTTACATCAGATGTAGCATCAATATAACACATGGCAGGAATACAATAGCACCACTTTATGTAAATTACGGTGCAGAAACAAGCCTCATAAAATAATTTTGGTAAAATTAGGACAATGTGTATAATACCATAAATACGCACTGTTCGATACAATAATCATAATGCTTTTGTATATACTTTGTAATATCATTATTAATATTGTAATCATTTTAGAGGGGTGAAAAGATGACCAAAGCCGAAGTACGAGCTATGATTGATGAAGCCGATGATGATGGCGATAGAAGACTTGATTACAATGAGGTGAGAAATAAATTGTAGTTAATTACATGTACATCAATGACACGTGCTGTATTACAGTATGGCAATTTACATACGTGTAAACATACTGTAAAATTAAATCTTGTATTGATTATTGTATGAAATAGAAAAATATGTACACTATGCATTCTAATTATAAAAAAGTGATGTCACAGATTACAGGGACCAGATGTGTCAACTTTTGAGTGCGATTTTCAAACTGAAATCTAGCTGATCGACATCTTTATTTTTATGCACCGGAGCTGCAGTTTAAAGCATTAAAATAATTGCATCATTCCATGCAGCTTGATAGCTTTCTTATGCACAATGTATATCCAAATTTTAAAACATATACCGGTAATGACGACTACTGTGTGGAAACTTGAAACACACCTGATGTTTTTTCTCTCGTTCATTTTGACCGTCTGTATCCTTCAGCAGACGGTGTGTTGAATTTTGACACAGACATGTTGTAATAATTGTTCTTTTCAGTTCAGTAAGATGTTGATGTCTACATCAACTAAAGCCAAACAGATTGCCAAAGATAAATTGGACAAGATTGAGAAGTCTAAAAAAAGTAGCTTTGGACATTCACTTGCTGATAATTCCCCTGTTCCGTCCCCAAGACCAGCAAAAAGAGGTAATGTCGAGTCACCCGAACACATAATGTGTATGTCATCAGAGTGGCAGTTTTATGGGATTCAATGTGGAACAAGTGGACTGTTAGCATTCAAGAGACATCAAAAGACAACTTCAAAATACACACAATACAGCACATGAGCCTTGAAATTATGCCAAAAGATGATTGCATTTTGCACCAATTTAATGAGTGCATTCATTCATTCATTCATTAAAGTCATAGTATCTGTACACATTGGATACAATAACAAAACTGTGGGAGAAATTATTTCCTGTTTCAATCAAAATTATTTCCTGTTTCAAAATTATTTCCTGTTTCAAAATTGGCTTCTATCTGACTAAAGAATTGAATTCCCACACAAAAATTATGTGAAAGATTTTTTTGCTTCTGCTGTACTCTTCGAATTTTTATATACTAGTATGAATGCACTATTAAACTATATATTTATTTTGTTAGTCACTATGCACAGAGACATGACAAATTACTGCCCTCTCAACTTACCAGGTCTCTCACCAGCCACCTGTCTACCTGTCTGTCATTTTTTAGGCAGCTACTTCATATTTTAGACAGGCACAACGTTTCAATTGACAGGCTACATTTCTATGAACCTGTCAATTTTTATTGAAAATTTCCATTGCTTTAAATAGTCAACAAAGAATAGAATTACAAGTGTGAGGCTTTACACCAGCAACTACTCCAGTCATGTAACTTGCATGTCAACATTGATTTTTGAAAGGCACTTTTCATTTCCAGCTGTAACTACCTCATCTTACCTCTCAGATTACAACATGTACTTTTAAAGAACATGAATCTAGCAGGGACTATTAGTTTGATTGATTAACTTGAAGCTTTTCGATATCATGTATAGAAACAAATTATTTCAGTAATAAGAGAACGGAAATTTATGTAAATGTTGGTGATTGTCCGTCTGTCATCTGTTAACAATTATCGTTGACTTCTTGAAAACTTGAGTGCTTTGATATTTTTATATATAATACATATACTTTAAGTTTATATAAATTAGTTACATGTATGTCTAAAAGTTTGAAAACTGGAATACTGTCACAAACGAGATGAACGCTTAGTGTACTTCAATTCAATACCTATTAATGTTATATTTACTCTCTGCAGCCGGTTTGCAAGACTCCAGTCACACACGAACAAAAACTGCCTTATCGCATCCCGCTAATTCAAAAGCTGTTGAACCAAAGAGTTTAAGAAACTGGCATCATACTACTAGTAAAGGAAGTTTCCACTTTGACGATGACGGTGCTATTATAAGTAATCAGTATCGATTAGATGTACCAAGTGCTACTAATGTATGGCTGACAATACATTCACGGAACCCTGTGGATGCAGATGGTAAGTATGTGACATATTCATCCAAAGTTCAACTTTGAAATGGTACATCTTAAGTACTTTGGTGTTGGCATATTTGGTGGCATGAATTAAGCAAATAATCCATGAGCATTATAATTGATTTCAATTATTCTTTAAGTTTCATTTGCTAATAATTTTCATTCATGTTCTGACAAATTTTGTTTATCATCGCAAGGATTTGCCTTCATTGCTATCTGCAGTAATTCATAACAAGAGTGAATCTGGATGAATCCTGGAAATATGTCATTTATTCTTGCTTATTCTGCTTATGAGTATTCTACTCTAGCTATAGCTTGCGGTTTTATAACTGTCTAAATTGTCATAGTTGTCATGGTAGTGGTAATATGTGAACATACATTATACATTTTGCTGTCTGGTTTAGAAGTTTAACCAGCTACCCAAAAGTTCCTCGATCCATCCCTTTATTTACCCAAAACCGATGTAATATAGATATGAGCCAGACTAATTATTTTTACATCACACTGTATCGTGTCTTAAAGGGCGACAGTCGTCGTGCTGCGTCCTGTTCGATATGGGACTCATAGCAATGTATGTAACGCGTGTAAAATACATTGCTTATTTACATGAAATTCGATGACCACCGTACTATTAAACTCTGTGATTCTGTTTACACTAGGAGACAGCATTGTTGGTAAACATATTGATACAGCATTATTTATAGTGAGGGAAGATGATGATAACGATTGTATTGCTTATACTCACACAAAACATCACCAGGTAAGACGAAACCATTCAGTGTTGAATGACTTGCACGGCTGTGATCATGCTTGATGGTAGCGGTGATTAATAAACTTTGAAAGTACCACAGCTGCCACATTGCATATGTTTTTACATGCGTTATATCTGGTTGTAATTTGATTGTTATTGTTATCTCAATAATGAATGGAACTAAATCCACAATATTACCAGCTAATTGGCTAACCATTGAGCTGAGCATTGGAATGTGCAATTTGATTTGGGGGTCACATCATAAGAGGAGACAAGCTGCATCATATTACGAAACGTGTCTGTCTGTTTTTCCTGTATTCAAGTTCTCAGACACTTACGTAGATACATTTGTTGCTAGTGGGAAGAAGTTTTTATGTTACGTACTAGCTAAATGCTACAATAAAAACATATTTTGCCAACAAATTAGCCAAGTTAAGAGTTAAAAGTAATTGCCAAGTCTGGTAATCACCTCCCAGATTTTATTATCAGGGTTTAATATGAAGGCAGTACTGATTTGGCTACTGATTTTTTATTATGAATGCACACGTCTGACGCTCAAAACAGTCTTTATGATTGTACCTATTGCTCATACACAACAAATATGTACTCACAATGAATCACCTGAACACTCTCAAAGGAACATCAAACAATTCCTTGTGTCTATTTTCAGAATAACACTTTGCGATGCGATTTGAGATCGGGAACCTATCGACTCATACCATTCACTACGGGGTGTAGATTCAAAAAAAGACGATCAAACCACAAAAAAGAAGCTACACTTGTTAAAAAAGAAAATGATTCATATATCTTAACAAAAGCGTTTAAGTAAGTATAAGTTAGTTATATCCACACCTCAGTGCATAACTTTGTAATCCTTGGGGCGGAGCTACGTCACAAGACGTTCTACGTTGCTAAGACGCGCACCACTGTACCACGTATTTCTATGGGCTCTGTGCGCGCTGCTGAGGAACGCCGAGTGAAGAACCGGTGAAAATTCGAGAAAACAACAGGAACTCAACTTTGAAGTAATCCTGAACAATCAAATTTATATGCGTTACACACGCAAGGGTACTCTTGTTATACTGTTCAAGGGAGTCTCAACAACCATCCCAAAGTATCGTTTTCTGAGAGTTTTCAGCCTTTGTTTTCACCGTGATGGTTGCCATGCAGTTCTCATGTTCATTTCACATTGGGAGGCTGTATGCTCATTGGAATGGTACTTTTTTTCTTGAAAAACCCCTCCCTCCTACAGTAAACTAGCAGTCTCAACTAGATTTGGGGAATTCCATTTTGATTCCTCCAAATTCAATCCTGTTTAATTGAGAGCACACTTGTATGGATGCACACAAATCACTGATAACTTTCTATAACCTGAAATGTACAGTTGTTTTTAATGGGACCTCATTGATTAAAATTATAAATTCTGTTCTACAGAGATACGCTGTCAATTATGTTTGATATGATTGACTTGGACGGCAACGGGACTTTGAGCCGAGAAGAGTTTGATTTCTTTCAAGTACGGACCAGTGGTGAACACTGTGACGATGATGCGTGGGAAGTCGTGGAAGGTTTGTATATAGCTGTAGTCGTGTACATGTATATAGTGAAGATCATCATTATTCAAACTAGACTACGGTTTATGTTTGCTAAGATTTCACCCTGAGAATTTGAAAATTGTGTACTTCTGGTCGTTTCGCAAATTATGTTTAGCAAGACAGCTCATTTATGATAAGCCGATTGTTTTCTGGCAACCTAAAACTTGGAGTTGTGTTTTGAGTCATTTGGAACAGCGATGACAGTCGTGTGTGGGGGCAACTTGAATTCCTCTCATCTAGGCCAATATTTATATGTATTTTTCTGCAGTTTTATTGCTAATTTTGGATCAAATGCACATTACTCATTGGCTGCAGATCTTTATCAAAATATAGAAAAAGTTTTTCAGGTTTCTTTTGTGAAAGATGTTTTTATAAGTTTTAAAACATAATATTATAAAAATAGGCTCATTCCATAGAATTGTCAACCATGGATGAAGAATACCGTTTCTTGACTGTAGAATTTTATTTTTTTTTCAAACAGAAAACTTTGAGTTAAAAAATGGGGAAATCACAAAGAAAGGATTCTTTGATCTGCATCAAATGGAGGCCAATGACAGCGATGGGGATTTAGAAGATCTTTGGGTTACCCTCAGCTCTATGGGATTTTCAAAAGATTTAACTCTTGATGAGGTATGTATGCTATCATTGATGACACCAGTATATTCACCACTAGAAGGCTCCGTTATCAAAGCCACAACATTCAAAATACTGAACCAAAGGGCCAATTACCTGTCCTGTGGTTTTTGCAAAATATCCACCTTGACAGAAGCCAAACACTATCATTCAATCTTGGTTCTGATTGAGTTTTCAGCAACTTAGGGTGTCATCAAGATGGACTATATTACAAAATTAATATTTGATGTAAAGTAATATTTCTATTAAGATTATTCTGAGGTGCACAGCGGAGTTGTTTCCTGTATAATCAATAGGATGGCAATTTTACTCAAGTTACTACTTCAAACATTGAACATTACATACCTCCTTTTGTTGTGTTTAGCATGCTCCTGAAGTAGAATTCAAACAGCAATGCATGATGGGATTTATTGTAGTGAAAACAATAACTAACCTAGTCTATTAATCTCTATTACCTGTGTCCATTACAATTCCCATCCTTTACTCAACCTGTATTTCAGTTACTCCCTGTATTTCTATTAGAAGCACACTCTAATAGAACTACATGTAAATAAAAAAAATTGCATTAACTTTATATTGGATTATTCATATATTACTTATTTTGACCATAGACCTGCCATACACATGTAAGTGCACATGTTACTAAAAAATATGGCACCCACCTGTTTCCTGCATTCCGAAACTTTAATTTGAATTAACAGAATATATCCTCTGTATTCCAAAATAACAACATGTCATGTTGTATTCTGTTTGCAGGCATCTTCCTTCCAATTAGATATTTATACAGAGGATGCCAGGGTAAAGCTGAAAGCGTTGGAGGCAAGTGAAGGTGGGCATGCATTAGAAAATGCCCTGTGTTCAACGTCTATTAGAGATGGAGTGGAAACAAGGATTAAAGGAATGAAAGATCTTACTATGTTCACTTACACAGGAGATACTAGAGCTAGTATTGTTTTAGACAACAAGGTATGTATTTACAGTACCACTGTACAACCGTGAAATGTAGAAAGTGTCCTTTCCTCAAACAGACCTTGAGAACAAGAAAGCTTCTGTTTATACAGGCATATAATTTTTGCTTTTATTAAATCATCATAAAACATTTTCTTGATTGACGTTACTAAGCTTTATTTAGATGATTGGAAAGTATCAAAGGAGTCATCAACGGTAATTAGTGCAAATCATGGCCAGGTCAAACCTCATACTTGTGATTTCCATTAGAAGAGTGCATTGGATTGTGGGAAAATCAATGTTTATCAACACAAATGTCTCACATGCGCAGCGCCATGACCACCGCCTTTCAAAATTACCAGTATTTTATTTTGTGAGTACCATATGTCTTTGGATATATGATCAGATATGGCCACCAAACAGCCATTTCTGTTTTATTAATGCTCTATTTTGGAAATGTTTCTTGGATATGCATTGGGTGATTTTTGTTTTTAACTTTTTAGCTCTGCTGTCGACTTTGTCAAGCGGAGCTTATCATATGAGTAATTGTCCGTCGTCGTCCGTGTCAATGTTTTACTTTTTCGACTTCTTCTTGAAAACTACAAGCTTGAATGCTTTGATACTTGGTGTATATGTATCTTGGGTAGACCACTCTCAGATTTGTTCAATTCATGATGATATCTTCAATTCTCTAATTTTGGTGAATATTTTTGTCATTTTTGGTAAAAAGTGATATTTTCTTCTTGTTAATAACCACAATCATTTATGGTCAAAAATGATATTTTTGAATTCTTGTTGAAAACAGCAAGTCCCATTGCATTGATACTATGCATATTGTTCATTTTCTAATGATATCTTCTGTTCTTTAATCGAAATGTGCATTGCTAACAGCGGAGCTATCTCAGCCGAGAGGCTGCTTGTTTAATAAAACACAACTTTCTGAGGAACTGTAGATATTGAACCTAGGCATCTATTTTTGATCCTCTCCATTCCTTTGATATTACATATATAGGTACTACATGTGGACCTCTCTCAGATTTGTTCATTTCATGATGATATCTTTAATTCTCTAATTTTGATGAATATTTTCGTAATTTTTGGTAAAAAGTGATATTTTTGACTTCTTGTTGAAAACCGCAAGTCCAATTGTTTTGATATATTATACATACATTGTATAGGTACTACATGTGGACCTCTCTCAGATTTGTTCAGTTTCTAATGATATCTTTTGTTCTTTAATTGCCATGTGCATTAAACAGCAATATAATGTTTACATATGACATGCATGTTGGTCAGTTTTGTGATTCCAGCAATGCAGGGATTTGTGCACATACAATTGTTTCCTTGAAAACCATTAGTAGGACAATGTGCACAAACAGTATGAATCATGCATGTAAATATTTTTCACACCTGTCCATGCGGAAGTGTGTACCAGCTTTAGTTGAGATTTCAAACAAGTTTTTTTTTTCTCCTTTCCAGTCCCACAGCAAAGTGAGAGTTCGACTGGACTGCCTGAAAAGCAAGAACTGTTGCAGTCACAGGGGAAATTTGGACTACACAGTTGATGTTCCATCCAAATCCAAAGTTGTGAGTTGTCATACATGTAGTTTTACACTATTTTGCAACAGCTGTGGTTTTCACAAGATATCCACCTTGCCAAAAGCAGAACATATATCAAGCTGCACATCGATTTGGTTCTGATTAAATTTTCAGCATCTTAGGGTGTCATCAAGATGGACTGTATTACAAAATTAATATTTGATGAGAAGTATTATTTCTATTAACCTTTTCACCACCAGACTTTCTTACCCAAATTTGTCTGCACTTTTTTTCTTATATTCTTCCATATTTTTAGTAATGAATCCTAATTTTAAAGCCAATTTGAGTTTTTGCTAATCTTCTGAAGGGAAAGTGCAGACTATAAACAGCACTATTTTGTGAATTTGTGCTGAAAAGAGGAAACTAGTGGTGAAACGGTTAAGATTTTTCTGAGGTGCACCAAAGTTATT